AAAGGAGGTATATCTATTTTTAGTAAGCACAATATCCCAATTCTAATCACAAAGGCACAAAGTGGGTCCTTTATAAATATCAACTGACTGAATTACAAAGTTTGTAAAATTTCAGAGCAGATATAGTTTAAGACATAGAAGGCTAGACAATTTAATCACTTATCAGTATTTGGGGGTTAGAATGTTACAGAACTGTGATGTATCTATCAACGTTAAGCTATTTCCACTGTATACAACTGATCCTTGAGCAACATGGGGAGTTTGGGGCACTGACCTCTATGCAATCAAAAGTCTGCATGTAACTTCTAACTCCAACACTTAAATACTCATAGCCTACTTTTAACCAATAACAAACGATTAACCCATATTTTGTAGATGCATTATACAGTCTATTCTTACAATAAAGCTATAGAAAAGAAAATGTTATTAAGAAAATCATAAGGAAGAAGAAATACTTTTACAGCACTACAAAAAAAAAAAAAAATCCAGGTATAAGCCGACTCATGTGGTTCCAACCGGTATTGCTCAAGGGTCAAATATAATGGGATCTTTTCACTGTTAAAGCGTCATTCGAAAAATTCAATTAACAATACATATTTTCTAATTGCTTCCAAATTTGGTAAAACATAACTGTAATTACAATACTCTGACATGGAGTAAGAATTTGAATGACCTTATAAACTGGAACAGAAAATTCATTTAACAATAGAGCAAATTAGATCTTGGAGTTCCACCTCTGACCTACTAAATCTGGTGCTGTTTGAATTGTTTTGTTTACGCAATGCTGTTAGAAGAAATGATATTTTCATCTCCTTGTTAAATATTTCGTTTCCAAAAGATTAGGGGAAGAAAAGACATTGTTATTGACTGAATGTTTATGTTCTCTCCAAATTTGTATTTTGAAGACTAAGTCCCCGATTCTAGTGGCATTTGGAGGTAGAGTCTTGGGGAGGTAATTAGGCCGAGATGAGGTCATAAGGATGTACTGCCAAGGTGGGATTAGTGTCCTTTTGTAAAGAGGAAGAAAGACCAGAACATATGCACACACACTCTGCCTTGTGAGAATATAATGAAAATGTGGCAATAGGCAAGCCAGAAAGAGGGCTGACACCAGAACCTGAACCCTGCTGGACCTTGATCTTGGACTTCTCAGCCTCCAGAATTATGAGAAAATAAATTTTTGTTGTATAAACTACCCCATCTATGGTATTTTGCTATGGCTGTCCAAGATGACTAGTACATAGATGGGAAAAGGGAACTTTAGAGAAATTCATAAAGTAAACATAGACAACGGCATTTAAAATCATGCCCAAGTTCATATCTTAATAAAACATATTTGTTTTTCACTGTGTTTTCCTCATCATATCACTCTAATCCCACACTATTCTCCCACTTCATATTCTAATATATATTAACCTTTTTCACCTGAGAATCCTATTGGTACCTCCTTGAGTTCAAAATGAGTAGAGGAATACCCTATTTCCCTTTTATATAGACAGGTCTGTTTTCTAGAACTCATTAATGATTCTATTGCAGAAAAATGACCAGCTGTTCTAGATTTTCACTGAAGTTTTAAGAAGAGTAAATAAAATTACACTGTAACAAAATATATTTAGGTAGACAAATAAAAATTTTAAAGTAACAGATGATAAAGTTTGGGAGTATTTATCTTTATTTTGAATAAAGAATGGAAATCTCTATAATTAGGATACATGAAAGCTTTCAAAAATTCAGTTGAAACCTTCCTACAGGGAGAGGAGGGATGAACATTAGTATTTACTCATCCCAAGTAAGTAGTAATATGACAATACCTCTCATCACGCATGCTTAAAGAAAATTTTTTATAGATTTAGTAAAATCTCATTTTTATGAATATTTGATTTCTAGTAAAGAGTTAATTTTACAGAAAATTGTACTTTGGAAGTGCATTTTTTAAACATGTAAGTTTTTTCTCCACCTTTTCTCTCAACAAATAGGTATCCACACAATAATATGTGTGATGTAGATGATGCATGGGCAGCAGAGTAGTGATATTTGCTACCATGTCATTTCTTCTAGTTTTTCTCTTACCATAAAATTTGGCCAATTTATGCATTACTCACCAATTTTTCCATAGCAGCTCTTTTTATAGGCTCTAGTCTTATAACAAAAGTATTTTTTTTCTTTTTTATCTATGGGAACTGACAGAGTAATAATAGCAATAACAACAGCATCGGCGTGCTCGCTTCGGCAGCACATATACTAAATTAACAGTATCAGCCACTAATATTTGTTTAGGAGTTCTGTAAACCAGACAGAATAGTAAGGACTATTTTACCTTATCCTAACAACCCTATGGTAATTATTATTACAATGATTCCATTATCTAAGTTTACATGGCTAGTAAGTGGAGGAGAAGGCATCTGTATTCAGGGCTATCTTCTCAGAACCAGCACGTTTAACCACTTTGTTCAGTTGCTTCCCAATGACATCATAAGTAAACATGAATTGTAGCATAAATTACCATAGTCCATGGTTTAGCAAAACCAGAAAATATACTACCTGATACTGGTAATGGAATAAACATGTGACACACAAACATTTGAAAATACAGATGAACCTCTCCAGGAGCAATGGATATCTTCTACATCAGCTTAAAATTATATTGATATTATGACAGGTCAATTTCAGACTCAAATTTAAATTGACCTCAGGGATGCTTGGGTGGCTCAGTGGTTGAGCGTCTGCCTTTGGCCCAGAGCCTGATCCTGGAGACCCGGGATGGAGTCCCACATCGGGCTCCCTGCATGGAGCCTGCTTCTCCCTCTGCCTGTGTCTCTGCCTCTCTCTCTCTCTCTGTCTCTCATGAACAAATAAATAAAACCTTTTAAAAAATTAAATAAATAAAGTGACTTCATTATTTTATAGAAAACCCATATGGAACTCTTCAGTATGGGTTTGGAAGTCACCTCTATTATCATTTTACTTTCCATAAGAAGCATAAATTAGACATATAATGAAAGTGTCTTCTTAATTGACTTTAAATCTAGACATGCAAATGAATATAAATTATAGTTACATCCTCATAAGCACAACCCAGTGCCTGCTCAGTTTACCATCCTTTTCAATATGTACAACCCTTTAATTTCTTTTCTGAATCCTTCAAAGACACACAACATTGGAGTATGAAATTTTAAATGAGGCAATTGGATAAACTTTGCTCCTTTTTTTAAACTTTGCATTCAACAGATGCACACTTAAAATATGAAGGTATTGCTCATTAACTAGTTCAACAAGCACTTTAGTTAGAATGTCTACAACTACTTAGAATTTTCTTTTCTTAAAATGACCTGAATACAAATCATTAAATTTTAATTTAAATCGGGAATTTCGGGAAGATAATCCATAGCATTGTGCAGACACCCTATCAGTAATTGTTAACTCATTCGCATATTAAGGTTCTGGATGAAAGAGAAAGCAATGTACTTGTCAGCGGTTCAGATAGGAGGGGCCTATGGGCCAGAATTCAGCAGGACCTTTTTTTTGCACATCCTTCTAAATTAGTACATTTATTTTTTTCTTAATTTTTTTTGAGGGGGACATTCCTTTCTTTCTTTCTGCTTTTTTTTTTTTAATTGAAGTTCAATTCGCAAACATATAACACCCAGTGTATCCCATCAAGTGCTCCCCTCAGTGCCCATGACCCAGTCACCCCAACCCCCCGGCCCACCTCCCTTTCCACTGTCCCTTGTTCGTTTCCCAGGGTTAGGTGTCTCTCATGTTTTGTCTCCCTCACTGATATTTTCACTCATTTTCTCTCCTTTCCCCTTTCACTATTTTTTATATTCCCCAAATGAATGAGGCCATACAATGTTTGTCCTTCATATAATGTTTGTAGTTCACTCAGCATCATACCCTCCAGGTCCATCCACGTCGAAGCAAATGGTGGGTATTTGTCGTTTCTAATGGCTGAGGAATATTCCATTGTGTACATGGTCTGTGAGGGGGCCCTTCCGGTGCGGGGTGCACTCCTGGGTCTGTGAGGGCACTTCCGGTGCGGGGGGCGCTCCCGGCTCTGTGAGGGGGCACTTCCGGTGCGGGGTGCGCTCTCAGGTCGGTGTGAGGGGGCCCTTCCGGTGCGGGGTGCACTCCTGGGTCTGTGAGGGCACTTCCGTGCGGGGCGCGCCCCCAGGTCGGTGTGCGCGGGCGCCGCAGCCGCGGGCTCGCCTCGCTGCCGTGTCCGTTCCGCGCGGGAGGCTCACGGGGCCACGAGCCACCCGATACGCTCTGCTCTCCTCTCGCGGCCATCGCCGCGGACCCTTCGGCCCAGGATCCCGCCTCCCGCTGCCCCACCCGAAGCTCCCTTACCCCTGGGCGCGGGCCCCGGAGAGCGGAAACGGCGGGCGGCAGGCGCATGCGTCGCTGCCACGTGTCCCGGCCGAGCGGCTCACGAGCCGGCGTCGACGCCGTGTCGCTTCCCGCACCCCGGAGCCTACCCGGTGCTTCTGTCCGTCTCGGCGGCCGGAACCGCTGCGGAGGAGCCCGCGGCGCGCACCCACCGGCCCGAGCCAGCCTGTCCGCGCTCAGCCTCGGTCACCCGGACAACGTCGCCGACCGCCCGACTCCTGCACACCTGATGCCCAGGCCGAGGGCGGGGCCTGCCGCTGCTGCGGGCCCCACGGACCCTCGGCCCGCTCGCTCCCTGATGACCGGCCTGCCCGCCCGGACAGCACGACGCTCTGCCCTGGGGGCGCCACTTGCAGCTCCCGCAGACCACGGGCCCTGGGGGGGGGGGGGAGGACACCTCCATGTGCTGACCCGGGGGACGGAGAACGCGGACCACAGTGAGGACACCTCCGTGTGTTGACCCGGGGGACGGAGGACGCCGACCACACCGGGGACACCCTGTATCAGCCCCGGGGACGGAGGACGCCCACCACAGCGGGGACACCCCGTGTGCCGACCTGGGGGACGGAGGTCCCCAACCTCAGCAGGGACATCCTGTATGCTGACCCCGGAGGATGGAGGACGCTGACCACAGTGAGGACGCCCCGTGTGCTGACCCGGGGACTGAGGACGCCGACCACAGTGGGGACACCTCTGTGTACTGACCCGGGACAGAGAACGCCGAGCACACTGAGGACCACCTCTCTGGGCTGAAGCACGGGGTGACTAGCGTACAGGGGCTGTAGGGACCCCTTGGCCCACCCCCCCTTCCTGGAGCTCCGCCCCCCGCCTTGCTTCCTCCAGGAGCCCTGCCCTTTTCCTCCGTCCTCCGGATCCCTGTCCCACCACCAGTGTGTATGCTCCTTCCTCTTTCCTCCCGGGGCCCCGCCCCCTTCCTCCCTCCTCCCGGAGCCTCGCCCCACCGCCAGCCTTCCTCCGGGGCCACGCCCCTTTCCTCCTTCCGCCCGCAGCCCCTCCCCTTTCCTCCCGTAGCCCTGCCCCCTTCTTCCTCCTCCTGGAGCCCCGCCTCCCCGCCAACCCCTGTCCTCCTTCCTCCCGGAGCCCCGCCCCCCGCCAATTCCTGTACGCCTTTCTCCCGGTGTCCTGCCCTCCTGCCTATCTCTATCCTTTTTCCTCCCGAAGTCCCGCCTCACCGCCAATCCCTGTCCTCCTTCCTCCTAGGGCCCCGCCCCAACGCCGGTCTTCCTCCCGAGTCTCGCCCCACCGCCAATCCCTGTCTTCCTTCTTCCCGGAGCCCGGCCCCCGGCCAATCCCTGTCGTCCTTCCTCCGGAGCCCCGCTCCCGCCTGTTCCTGTTCTTCCTCCTGGCCCCCAGCCAGTCCCTGTCCTGCTTCCTCCCGGAAGCCCGGCCCCCCGCCAATCCCGGTGCTCCTTCCTCCGGAGCCCCGCCGCACTGCCCATCCCGGGGCCCTAAACCCGCGCGCCCACCGCTGCGTCTCGCGAGCACTTGGCGGCCAGTGGTACAGTCCGTCCCCCCCGCGCGCCCCGGACGGTGGGCCCTTCCGGTCGTAGAAAAGCATTGTGGGAACGGCGCGCGGCCCTTCCTGTCTCTGGGCCCGGGGTGGCGGGCGTGTTGCGCCCGGAGGCTCCGGCTCCGCGAGTCCCGGGCCCGCAGGAGGCCCCGGGGGGGGGGGGGGGGGAGGGGGGAGGGGGAGGGCGGGTCGGGCGCGCACGGGCAGGAGCGCCGCGGAGCGTGGGGCGCCGCAGGTGAGTGCGCGGCCGTCCCGCGCGGGGTTCCGCCCGCGGCCTTTGTGTTGCCCGTTCACCTTCGGAAACTGGTGAACGCGGTGTCAGAAAAGGCGTAAAGCAAGCCCCTGGCGGCGCTTCCTGCCCGGACCGCGGGTCTGGGGCGCGCGCCGCCCGGTCACAGTTCGCGCCCACGTGGCCCGCGTCTTCGTGGTCGGGTCGCGCGTCCCTGCGTTGGTGCCGCGCCTGCGGCCTGACGGGCGGCGTGGGAGGCGGACACGCGCCCTTCCGCTGACCTTTACCTTTTGCGTTCCAGGGAGTCGGCGGAGAGGAGAGGTGGGGCGAGCTGACGCCGCGGCCCCGACCAGCGCACCGCACCGCACCGCACGCGGCCTGCGAATAAACGTGTCCTCGCGCCGCTCGGCTTCGTGGCTGCCTGACCACCGGCAAAGAGCATTTTCACCAAAACCCCGAAGGGAAACCGGGTGTGTGTGTCCGTCCCCCCCGCCCCCCGCGACTTCCGCGCGGCTGGAGCCCGTAGGGAAGGCCGCGAGGCCCGGGAGACACGGGGTCGGCGCGGGTCACGGTCGCTGCGTCCGGAGTGTCCCGGGGGGTAGGCCGCGGGCCCTCGGCACTCGCTTTGCAGGAGCGAGTAGCCCGAGAGCGTTCAAAGGATTTATTGAGTTTTCCAGTAACATACTAGGAAGTGGGAACGCGCGGGTGAGCAAAACCGGCCTGCCTTCGGGAGGAGCGGCCGGAATGGCGTCACGGACAGACTCCCCTCGTGGCACCGGCCCCTGCAGTTGACCGAGGACGACCCCTGAGCAAGCGCGTGAGCCCGACGGCGCCAGTCCCCTTGGCAGGGCAGCCGGCCCGTGACCGCCGTCGTTTCGCCCCTACGCGCCCCGGAGGAGCCCGGAGGATGGCTGTTGGGGGCCCGCGGCGCTCCGAGCCTGGACGGGGAGGGGAGGGGCCCGCCCTCCGGAGATGGCTGACCGAGGGGAAGTCAGGACATGGTTGCAGTGGGCCCGCCGGGAGGCAGGAGGCCGGCGGCCGGCCCCTTGGACCAGGGCGGTGACGCCGGGAGAGGAGGCTCGGGGGGCAAAGCTCGCCCGGACTGTAACGGGGTCAGGGACTGGTGTGTGGTCGTGCGTGGTCACAGCCACGGGTCCTGAGTCCAGCCGGAGCAGCATTTTAAAGCAGGGGAATTAGGATTGCCTTTGGGAGATCCACGTGGGGCTGTGGCACAAGGGAGATGCACCCAGAGGGACCGGACTGGGAGCCCGGCTGGCGAGGTAGGTGGTCAGAACCATAGGAACCATGAGAGCCCACAGGTCAGATGTCGCAAAGCAGCCCCAAAGTCCCCGCTGGGGTGTGGGGACAAGGTAGTTCAGCAGGGGCTGTGCTGGAGCAGTGGGGGTCCAAGCCTAGACACTTCAGGGAGCGGGACAGCTGGCGAGGGATCTGTGGCCTGAGAGTTGGCTTCTTTAGGTGGGAGAGTGGGCTCCAAAGCACAGGTGCAGGGACGGGAGGAGAGGGTTTCCTGTTGGGGTAGCCGGAGGTGGGGGGGGGGGGGACGGACGGACGACGGACGTCCTGCAGGATGACTCCTACTCCCTGGGACAGCCCCTTCCCAAGGAACTAGTCTGGGGGTCCCGGGGCGGAGAACCACTTGTGACCGGGGCTAGGTCTGAGCTCAGGTCAACTGATCCACACATTCTCTTCTGAAAACACAAGGACACTGGAAATTAAAAGCAACACTCAAAGCTTTATACATTTGCAAATAACCGGTGGGGCTCCACGCCACACACAGTATCACGAGAACAGTTATCTGGCCGAGGCCTCTGCAGCCCAAAGGGGATGTCGGTACATCCGCGCACAGGCCAAGACCCACCTACAGTTCACAGGTGGTGCGTCCTGTAGCACCAGCCGCACACCAGTGTCCAGAGCTTCAACCGAGGCCTCTGCCCTCGCTGGTGGCCGCAAGGTGCTGGTGGTTTCCAGGAAGAACAGGGCATCCAGTGAAGGAGCTCCCAAGCCTGTCCGAGTTCCCCAGTAAAGGCTTCCAGCACATACAGGCTGCTTGGACTTTAAAAGATGCAACAGGTTCAGTCTTTCTGATGAAACCTTGCAGGTCCAAGAGGATGTGGATCCTGGATTCATGGTTGGGAAGTAAGGCGGCCACCCCTCAGGGCCAGGCCCTTCCCCGGCATCAGGTCTCCGTCCTGAGGCAGGAAGCTTGGACAGTTTTCACAGTCTTGGCTGTGTGCTTTCCAGCCAGGTTGCTCGTAGGGGTCTGAGATTTCCCCTCCATCAGGCTGTCCTTAGATCCGTTCCTTGCCTAGAAGGAAATAGAGGGTTCAGAGGGGAAAAACAGCAAAAACCAACTTTATTAATACATTTCAGAAATCAAGCTTTTCTTACACTTAAGACCTCAGACCACAAAATAGTTCAGCTTCACAGTCAAAAGCTGTTCAACAAATGCTCTAGTTACAACAACGTGAAGGTGGTTTAAATCTTTCCAGGTGGAACCTGGTAACGTAATAGTGCAGGGGAACCGGTTGTGTGTTGTACCAGGTGGGTGTCAGTTCTCTGGTTCCTCCTAAACTAAGCTCCAAGGCGGAATCCAGGGCATTCTAGGGCGTGATGTCTAGATAATCAGAGAAGAGCCCTGCAGGGAGCCAGTGGGGAGGGGACCAGCAACGTGGCAGGTGTCCCGCCCCCCCCCCCCCCCCCCCCCGACCAGCACCAGCTGTGCGTCAGTGCACAGCACCTGTCCTTTGCCAGCGGATCTCCAAGAAGTACAGGGAATCCGGAGCCCAGTCGCGCGGCTTCTACAGTCGCTGCGAGAGGCGAGGCATGGACAGGCCGCGCCACCACCACAACTCGGGCACCGCGGCAGGAAGAAGAAATGGGATTTTCCTGCTTCCCTGTGGAGATCTTTCTCCACGGGGCAACTGGAGTGGGGTTTCCCTTTGGCACAGAGTAAAAATCCACACTCTGGTGTCTAAAGCCTGGCTCCTGCCCACCCCGCTCAGGCCACAGTGGTCTTCAGCCCAAACTCCCTTTACACAGGGCTCTGTCTCACGATCCCCCCCGCCCCGGGGTGGCTCCCACTGCAAGGTCAGTTTTCCACCACGGTCTCTAGGGGAGGTCACCTGCTGACCTGACGCGCCCTTCGTTTCTCTGTAATGCCTACCGAATACTTAGACTTTGCTGGTGCACTTCTGTGTTCCGTGTCTAGGCCAGGAGTCCGCAAACCCTCTACTGAGAAGGGCCAGACTGGGCTACATCTGCTCGTTGTTCCCTGTTCCCCCCTCGGCCCTGGTCCCTTATTAAAAACCACCCTTTAAAAATGTCAAAGCCAGGGCAGCCCCAGTGGTGCGGCAGTTTGGTGCTGCCTGCAGCCCGGGGTGTGATCCTGGAGACACGGGATCGAGTCCCATGTCGGGCTCCCTGCATGGAGCCTGCTTCTCTCTCTGCATAAATCTTTTAAAAAAAAAAAACGTCAAAGCCATTATTAGCTCCTGGGCTGTACAAAAAGACTGCACTTAGCCTGTAGACCAGTTGGCAGACTACGCCCCATCATCCCAGCTGTGCGCGGGATGTCTGTGGCATTCAGTCAGGTGACCGAGCAGCTCAAGCAGAGAGCCACTGATGGAGGTGCCTGGGCTCCGCTCTTGTATTCAGCAAAGTGAGAGTTAGTCTATGAATGTGCATAAGTGTCTTAAGATTCTTAAGTGTCGGTGATGACGGAGTCCAGAGTAGTTGGAAAAGCAAAACTACAATAAAATAAAATCCTTATTAGTATTGAATCCAAAGTTCTAAGACAAAAAGTCCTGAAAAATCCTCACAGTAAGCCTAAACAGGTTATTTACCTTCACTGCACAAAAACTGAAGCTTAGAAGTTAGACATTTTGTCCACAGTCCTACAAGTCAGACAAGGAGACAAATGCCAGTCCCTCTGAATGCAAACCGTAAACCACTGACCCTGAATATAAATTCTTAAAAGATTATCGACTTGAATGAATGATTTGGACAACCTGTTAGCTGTCCCAGACTAATCTAAAGTGAGGCAGACTAGTGGAGGAGATGACCGAGCACCCAGATATCCACCTGGACGGAGGCATCCGTCCACCGTGGCGGGGAGTGCTGGCTCCATACAGCTAAGTCCTGAGCTCTTCCAAGGAACGAGACTCCGCTGAAGACGGCCTCCACCTGGCACCCTTTCTCCAGGGACTTGGTACGTGGGGAGTGTGATTATGCAAAGGCCCAGCAGCATTGTGTCCAGGTGGGGGCCCTGGATGGGCCGTGTCAGCGCTAGAGCTCCTTGTGCCACACACCTCAACCCTGGCCTTTCGCTTCCCAAGTGTTGATCCTAGGAGCTTTCCAACAGACTTCCTCCAGGCGGACCTCCATCTCTGCATCTCTTCCCAGGGAACCTAGCAAATTAGCATCGGCTTTCTGTCCCTGCTCAGTCAATGACAAAACAAATCAGGAGAAACAACGGGTAGCGTACGACGAGTATGGCGGAGTCGGTTTTCTTAGGTTGTCCATAAACCTCTTTCTTAGGTTGTCCATAAACCCCCTGAGTTTACATAGAAAACTATGTATGTGCTTACATGCATTTTTACGGGAGAGAAACAGTTGTACGTGCTTAAAATGTACTTCTCATAAAATTACAGGCTCTCAGGGCAGCCCAGGTGGCGCAGCAGTTGAGCGCCGCCTTCAGCTCGGAGCCTGATCCTGGAGACACGGGATCGAGTCCCACATCAGGCTCCCTGCATGGAGCCTGCTTCTCCCTCTGCCTGTGTCTCTACCTGCCCCCCCCCCCGTCATGAATAAATAAACTTTAAAAAAGAATTACCGGCTCTCACTGGAGTCTGAGATTCATTGCCCTACGTCCCCAAGAACTTTCAGAAAAGTGCTTCTGAAAAATTGTCATCGGTACAAACACCTTAAAACATTTGACCAACCTGATGAACCGTGGAACCACCGGAACCCTGAGCGTCTGAAGAACGGGTCACAGGAAGTGGGGGTACCAGTTCGGTTTTTGAACTGCAGAGAATTTGTTTCAGAATTAATGATTAGATAGAATTAATGAATCCCGAGCAGAGCTGGAAGGTGGTGACGGGACAGCACGTTCTACACCCCTTCGTATCCCTTCCAGGGCCGGCCACCATGGTTTACTGAGGGGGCGGGCCGAGCTTTTGGATTAAGTTGAGCAGGTCAAGTAACTTGCCCCAAATCACAGCAAATAAACAGAAGAACCAAGAACAAATAGGTGTGGTTCCCTTGTGCTTTTGTTACTGTGACATGTTTAAATGGTTTTTGTTTGTTTCCACAGAAGCATTTTCTTGGCCATTTATCCTTTTTCTATAAAACCATGGAGCTATAAATAGCCATGCTCTACATTTTACAAACAAAAAAAAAATACACAAAACCTGGCCTCTACCTCTCTGCTGGGTTAGCCTGTCTTGCAACCTATTGATATTTACTAAAATTTTGAGCCTTAATTCAGAGTTCAATGATTCATATTCCTACCCAACAATACCAAGTACCTGATGCAAAGTTACTTCAATAATACATTCATTTATAATATGCCACCTATTGTGACTATATGGTGAGATATGGCCACTTTCCTCAACAGGAAGACTAAACACAAAGAAATCACTGCATATCTGCTGTAGTAACAGAAAATGTTATCAGCTCAAAAAGAAACATATGCCGCTTCTCTCAAAGAAGGATGCATTATTTGTAACAGAATAGTTCATATATATATATATATATATATATATTTTTTTTTTTTTTTTTCTAGAAGTTGCAGTGCACACCGTGGAGGTGCCATGATTTAGCCTAAGTATGGTCTAGATCTGTGCCATCCAACATGGTAGCCACTAGCCACACGGGGCTATTTAAACTTAATTCAAATTGATAATACTAAATTTTCAGTTTCTCAGTCACACTCGCCACCTTTCAAATAACAGCTGCAGACACAGAACATTTCCATCATTGCGGAAAGTCCCATGATGCTGTGCTGCTCTGGAGCTGGAGCCATGCAGGTGATGACATACGCAAGTTTGCCCACTTACTTCATCTCCGAGAGGACAGACCGCTCTCCATCTGAACACTGGGACCGGCGATACTGGCGGTAGCTTCGAGGAGAATGGGAATGCCTGATGCGGACTGGATCGCCTTGAGTCCTGAACAAGCAACCAGAAATGTGAAAACAGGCCATGCGTCAGAACAGGGTAATTTGGAATTTTCACTTCATATGGAAACCACAAAGGAATAAGACCTTGAGAGTTTAAAAAGAATTTGATCCCTCTGCATTTGGAAAGCCTAAGTGACTTAAATTTCCCAAGCTAACAGTAGAAAGCTGCTCCTTTGACCACACTTGAAAGTGAAACTTGAGTATTTGTACGTGTGTGTGTGTTTCAATGAAAAAAAAATTGTAATGAAACTTCCCTACAGTTGGAATTTTTTCCAATACCTACAATGGAAGAAAAAAAACCTACAATGGAAGAAGAAAAAAAACCTACAATGCAGACAAATGGCATTCCTACCATAAAGGTTGGTCCTTGTCCTAACTGTTATTA